CTTACGTCTGGAATTTGAGGAATCTGTATCATGTGTTCGAAGTATTGTAAGTTACTGGCTTTGTAATAATTATGTCTCGAAGTTGAGAAATGTGTATTACTGTATGTGTTTGAAGTATTGTAAGTTACTGGCTTTGTAATACTTACGTCTGGAAGTTGAGGAATGTGTATTAAGTGTTTGAAGTATTGTAAGTTACTGGCTATGTAATACTCACTTCTGGAGTTCGAGGAACCTGTATTATGTGTTTGAAGTATTGTAAGTTACTGGCTTTGTAATACTTACGTCTGGAATTTGAGGAATCTGTATCATGTGTTCGAAGTATTGTAAGTTACTGGCTTTGTAATAATTATGTCTCAAAGTTGAGAAATGTGTATTACTGTATGTGTTTGAAGTATTGTAAGTTACTGGCTATGTAATACTTACTTCTGGAAGTTGAGGAACCTGTATTAAGTGTTTGAAGTATTGTAAGTTACTGGCTTTGTGGAAAAAATCCTTTAATGCACGGAACTGTTGTTTAAATCGTTCTCGATGTCCAGCTAACGTGTCACCCGGAAGACCTGAAATCAAACATGGTCAGAGTAACCATAGCAACAGTGAAGACATTAAAATCATATGCTTACTATTCTAAGATATAATTGTAACGACATTACCATTGACCATTGTCACGTTTCACAAAATAAAACAACATATTTTTTTAACGTTGATCAAAATCTCAAGGCAATGACAAATTATGTCTTGTTTGGTCCGAATGAACAAAGAAATTAACGTTGAAATGTTGCATGAACAGAAAAAGGTAATGTTGTTAACACAGTATAAGCCAATCACTGAAGTTCACAGATGTCATAAAGTAGTAGTTCAAATCATTGACTATTGGTATATATGTTACATACATGTTCACATAGGACAATTTACAAATATTCAAAATGTTTGTTTTTTTACTGTGGGGAAAATTTAAAGGGTAAGCTGTGGGAGAACAAGAAAAGTTAGTCTGCAAACTTTTAATCGTAGAAATAAGTGTGTAACTTACATCCGTGCAATTTGAAGAGTATTTTCACCGACAGATCATATAGCTGACTGGCATCTTGTATCATCGGTATCAGCGGTGCTAATCGACACTGACCGGTGGACGTCATAGAATTAGATCGCCGTGGATCAAATGAATTGAAAACTGAAACAGAACGATAAATAATAATTAATTATTACAAATATTTTCACTGCTGTGAAATATTTGTACAGAGTGTGAAGTATTTGTAGTTCGAAGTCTTGTGGTCATATTACAAGCAATCTTCAACAGAGTATGAATATTACACTTGACACACGTTGTCATTTACGTAATTACATATTCAACTCATAGGACACATACATGTATAAGTACTCCTTTCCAATAGACCATTTTCCGTTCACTGCGAGAATCACGCGTTATGCGTGAAATCAAACGTAAAAACAGGACAAACAAAGGTCATAGCGTCGTAGTGGCGTCAAACATCGCGTGGGAACGTGAAAGTATTTTGGGGCACATTTCCATGCTTAATAATGTGCTGTCCACATTTGATGATAGGCAATTTCGATTAAGTAAGCGTATTCAGAAGCAATATTTCTCTGTCGAAGATCGGCCGGTCGATGTGAACTACGAAATAAAGAAATTTGAGTTCAAAATCAAATCGTTCGATTTTTACGGCAGATGTTCAACGTGCATCTTTCATGCATCTCGCGAAATCTCGCAATTGTACGGAAAATCACCTATTCCCTAGTGGTTGTCCTAATATTTGCACAAGCTGTGGGAAATATTTGAAAATTCATCAAATCTGTTGGAGTACGGGACACAAATACAAATATTCCCTGCATGATAAACAGCTGTCATTTTCACTTGTATTTATTGCCATGGAAGAAATATTTGATCAAGACTTGCAGCAAGAAGGAAATTATGTTCATTTGGTGCAAAATTAATGAAGAACTAAAAAAAAGACATCAAAACGTTGCTTTAATTTTTTTTAAGGAAAAAATATGGTGGTAAAAATAACAGCACAATGCACACATGACGTGATGGTCTTACCTGCCCCTTCCGCACCGAGTACAGCATCTAAGTAATCAAATAACTCAACCGTTAACTGAAAACTAAAAGACACAAAGGTTATGAACATCAGTAATAATAGTGAGGGTATGCATGCCTTGCAACTAATGCCTAGGTACAATGCTAGTAATATCTTATTACCTATTCAGATTCACAAGCTCTTTCTAAACTAGCCTAGAATCTATTTGATATTCCACTTACTATACGCTACTCAACAAACGCCTAGATACAATGCTAGTAATATCTCATTACTTTATATTCAGATTCACAAGCCCTTTTCTAAACTAGCCTAGAATCTATGTGATATTCCACTTACTATACGCTACTCAACAAACGCCTAGATACAATGCTAGTAATATCTCATTACTTATTCAGATTCACAAGCCCTTTTCTAAACTAGCCTAGAATCTATGTGATATTCCACTTACTATACGCTACTCAACAAACGCCTAGATACAATGCTAGTAATATCTCATTACTTATTCAGATTCACAAGCTCTTTCTAAACTAGCCTAGAATCTATTTGATATTCCACTTACTATACACTACTCAACTAATGCCTAGATACAATGCTAGTAATATCTCATTACTTATTCAGATTCACAAGCCCTTTTCTAAACTAGCCTAGAATCTATGTGATATTCCACTTACTATACGCTACTCAACAAACGCCTAGATACAATGCTAGTAATATCATTCACATTTATGCAAACATTGTTGTAATAAGTATCTTTGGAAATGAAATACTCATTGGCCAGTATTATTTCTGCACAAGGATAATGCAACATTGACAATTTTAATGTACCAATCAAATTCAATCTACCAACCAAATGTAAACCAATCAAATTCAATCAACCAACCAAATGTAAACCAATCAAATTCAACCCATCAGAATTCAACCAATCACACACAATCAATCAAATTCATGAATAATAGTTGATCACCATTACAACTTACTAGCATTGTAGATAAGCAACATAGAAAGAGAACATTGCATAGATTTGACTACCAGTACACCTAAAATTGTTGACAAAGCTTGTTTGACCTGTTTTTCAATCTTTTGAATGATTTCTCATTTCAACTTTGTTGAGTCTGTTTCGATTTCCTATTTGCTAACACCTGAAAGCTTGAAGAGGGTCACAAGTTCAACTGCATTCAACATTTAATTGGATCAAAGGTCAAACTTGGTCCAGTTCAGAAATTTTCACTGATTCTGTTCTAAACTTTTTGGATTTTGGCATACTCATGATGTATTTCTGGGAGGAAAAGATGTATAATAATGTTATTACGAGGATACCTTAAAGTATGCACTCAGACAGTAAGCAGGTGTATACAATGCGTGTCGGTCGATACTCCTACTGTACTGTCTTCGTGCATACTTTGAGGTATCCTCGTATTAACCTCATAATATACTTTCCAATGAGAGATGGTCAGACTGTCTTTATTAACATGGTAAAATTATACACACAGGCAAGTCTACTTCGCTTGAAGGGGTCAAAGGTAGTAACAAGAGGGACTTACAAATTATTGACATCACCTTCAGATAAGGCATCTAATTCATCCTCTGTCATTTGCAAATTTCCGGGCACTTTGGGATTCTGTGAAAAAAAATCAGTTTTTATTTTCTAAAAATATTTATTTTGGGAAAATCATTGATAAAATTGCAAAATAAAAAGCCAAGTTTTGATCAGATAGTTCAACAGAGGCCATATGCATACAAATGTGCTTTTTGACAAACAAAATGGCAGACCGACAGCCATTATTTACTATCTAACATTATAGATCTACACATAAAAGGCCATTTTGAATCACGCAGTTTCACAAGCTCGATGTAAACATACTTTCAAATTAACCTTGGTTAGCGAAGATGATAAAAGGCATGTATCAGTACACCAGGCATATAACAAAGTACAGTCAGTTTTACCTTGTGGTGAAAATCCAACTTTGTGACGATTAAAGTACAATATGCAGCAATCAGTTTGCCATAACCTTCTTCTAAATGACCCTAAATGTATGAAAACAATATATTACGTAATTAACCCTTTGAACACTAAAGTCAACTTTTGTCACCTGACACAAAATAAACTAGCCTGGAATCCAGTCATTCAGAATACCCTTCCCAGGGTTCTCAAGAATGATCTGGTGAATCGCTATTTAAATGCATAGATGGCATACAATTCTCTGTAATCACTGATTGGCTGTCTCCATGACTTCAGTACATTACGAAGGGAATTTGCATGTGCAGAATGACTCGTACGTAAGACTTGCCCACAGCCCCCCAGTCTATTATTCAAAGAATTTTCAAAGTCTCATGATACAACAAAAAGTTGAACATATCACTTTTTACCAAAAATATTCATCGAAATTAGAGAATTAATAATATCATCACAAAATGAACAAATCAATGATCAATATCAATGATATGATCAATATCGAAGCAAGTAGACATACTGTTTTCAAGAAAAAGTTGAAAAAGAACAAATTTGACACTGACGATGACATACAATCAGTAATATGATTAGCTCCGTTTGATAAACTCAACAGCGGAATTAAACATATATAAATTTTCAGGTTTATTTTCCGAATGTCGGGAAAGTAAACTTTTGTGCACAATGGTTGAAACGACACCGCTGAACATTGTGTTTCTTCTTGCTGATTAATTCAGCAATAATGACAAGTTTTCTTGGCTTACCCACAGCTTTCCCAAATCAATAATGTGAGATCTGTACTTCATGGAGTCTGTTATTGCCTGTAGAAACAAAAGGTGGAATATTAAACCACAATTTCATTTTTCACATAGCAAATTTGAAAACTTTGTACCACTGAACATTCTTTTGGGGTTTAGACAGTCACACTCATGGAATTCAGTCATCTTAGAAAATAATAGTAAACTGTAAACATTCATTAAAAAAAATTGACAAAGCTAAAGAGTTATATTTGTAATATTAAAAATGGCACCCCAAGAACTGCTAAACTTTCAAAACCAGCAAAAACAGTCCTTTAATATTTATTTTATCCTTAATTTAATAAAAATCCGCTGGATACCATCAGCAACACATTGAACAATTTTGAAGTCACAAAAGTGGTACCCGGTACTGCACTTCATTTTATGTTGTTAATTATCTTTTTGACATGTAAGATTATTTTGAAGCAATGTATTTTTTTGGAAAATATTGAATAAAAAAAATTTTAAAAGACAAAAAAAAAATGTGGTACTGTAATAAATAAAACTTGCAATACTCACATGTGAGTGCCCTTCACGAAGCACTTTGTGTAAACAGTGACAGAATTTCCAGCACGATATGGGATTGCCTTGTAATGGTAATCTTCCGCTTACACTCCAAAACGTACCAGCTCCCTTTTCTTGAAAAGTACCAATAATAGCACATAAGTGTCAGTTAAGGAAAACATCAAAATTCTGATCATAATTCTAATAACAATATACATGCAGTGTAAGATATTGTCTTTAATCACCTAATTTTAATTACTGTAGAATACTTTATTTTCGCTTGGAATTAATTTTCGCCATTTTCGCTTAAGGAATGATTCAGTGAAAATAAAATCCAGCGAATATACCTTTTTTCTATATTTTACATTCAACTTGTTGAAAATCAGTGATAATAAATTCCATACAAAGCACCAAAAATGTCTTTTTCAGCAAAAATTTATTCCAGCTAAAATAAAGTATTTTACAGTATCATTCTTAAACATCTGCTATAGCTTCATTACTAATTGCTTGGAAAATTGTATTTTTAAACTTGAGTGTTTGTCTGTTTTTTGTTTGTTCAAAATAGTATTTAGTGTAAACTGCCTTAATTTCATAAAAGACAAAATTCTGCCAATTTGCAAGTCAGTGAAAGCCATGAAAGAGTAACAATTTCACTGCAGCCCTAGATCATAGAGCGTCAGTGAATTTCACAAATGAGATAAAACCAACTAATCAAAAAAATTTCTAGCAATGAAAATTAAAATGTTTACGGTATATAATGTGAAATGAATCATTAACTGAACTATGTAGTCATGGCGATTCTTTGAATAATTTTGAAGATGACTTTCCCATCAAGTAATTTGTACATGCATGTAAACTTCCAATCCCATGGATTGCAGTAAAGAATCATGGGACACTATTGTTTATGTTGTTTACAAAGTTAATCTTCTTTTGTTATCCATTTTGTTAATCCAAAAAGTAAATTTGTTGTAAGATTAGGCTTAACTGGAAGTGAGCCTTTAAATTATGGATGTTCAGCTGTTTATTATCTACTACATGTTGTATAAGTTTTCATCAAAGGATATTTCTGCAGTGTTTTTCTTTGACTGGGACTTCATTTGTGCTGATGGCTTTGTTGATACTTGTTGTCTGTGAAGGAAAAACAAAATATATAAATACCATCTGGAAATAACAATTTGACAGACAGCTGAAACAAGATTACAGGATCACAGTCAGAATGCAGTCAACAATCACGTTATTTGTTGATGACGCAGAAAATAGTTTTCCAACAAGAACCACATGTGGACTTGAGAGATTCAAATAATTGTTATGGTATGGCTATTTACTGTAATAGGTCTGTGGCTTGTACCAAAATTATGCAAATGTAGGTATATATTTTTTTTTATTGTCATATTTTACTTGTCTAGTTTTTGGTTTTATTTGACTTTTTTTACTATATATATAAATAATTCTATTTTTATCAGATCACCATAGATGACAAAATTTACACTATACTATACTATATTCTTTCCCAAGGTTTTTAAAACCAAGTGTAGAATCAATGTATCTTCAGTATCATTTATTAAGACTAGGAAATGGATGAACCACATCCTGTAGCATTATTAACCTATTAGCATGGAAGATCTACCCACTGTGTTGACATTACGTAAGTGAAAAGGTCAATGTAAAATGTACTGTCAAAAAAATAATCTTGTCGAACATGCGGCCACATTACATGTATTATTGATCATCTTTTGCAATTATAACAACACAGACAATACATGTATATACATGCAGAATTCATACAAATATAGCATTAATTATGTATACAGATGCTGGTGTATTAATAGGGTTTATGAAGTATTAACCTTTATTACTTGCCTAGGGCCCATGAAAATCACTCACGACTCCATGGGGATGACTTATAAGAAAGCAAACAAATTGGGAGATGCCGCATCTATGTGATATATATTTTACGACAGGTAGCTTAACACTCTTGATTTAATAGTCTCTGTGTAGTATCAGTAGAACACTATTAGTTTTGAATATAACTGGTAGTACGTACGGCGTTCTTAGTCTTAGCATATCAAGTGCAATATTTGTTCTAGACAATTGTGCAATAGAGTAAATAATAAAAGATGTTTCACGTGAGAACCAGATGAGTCAGTTACAACGCTGTGAAGATGCATGCATGTCATACTCAACTCACATTTTCATAATTGAAATTTCCAGCATCATTTTGTGATAATAGAACTATACAAATGTCATGTATTTTGAATATTCATTTTGGTTAACACAAACATTATTTGAGACATACATGCATCTTCTTGGCAGAGCTCTCAATTCAATAATTTAGATTAAAACTACTTTTTCTTGACATAGTCCATGTTTGTATTATAGGCGCAAGATAAATGACCTGATGTGTGATGTCTGGCATACATGAGATATGGCCCCCATGGAAATGCATTCATTCAAAAAGGCCAAGTCTGCCAATTTAAACTAAAAATAAAATGAAGGGCCGTTTCGTATGCACTATGTTTGAACAGAATCAATCCATGCATGACAGATCTATTTCCGGAATGGTTAAAATGTGTGATTTTGCCATTCAAATGGCTGCCACTTGGCCATCTGATATGATGCATGATGTATCGATCGGTCAAGGCATGTTAGACATGTGAATCAGGAACTGCATTTTTTGAAACAAAATGGCCGCCAGTCGGTCATTTTGAACTTGATCCAAAAATTATGTGCATCAGTGTCCCATTGGCTTTAATGTATATAAAATGTTTAAAACAAATCCGTCTGGACCAGACTGAAATCCTGTACCGGAATTGTGAAAATATTTGGTTTTGATGCATTTTTACCTTAAAATAGCTGCCGATTGGCCATCTCATGAAACAAATGTATATGTTCAATATAAAAGATGATGTATGTGTTGAACTCAATCTTAAAACTTAATCAGTCCAAGCATGTGTGAGATACTGCTAGATATGAACAGTCGTTAGCACAGACGCAACATGCCCACACATACAAAGTTAATCCAGTCTCAGTCTCAGTTTTCGGACTTCATTCAAACGAAGACTAAAAACAAGAAAGCTATTAAAGATGGCAGATCCCCGGCATCTTTTTATTACAAGCACTGTTTGAATCTGGAATATATTACTCCAAATATGATATTAATGCATTTTTCATGAGGTGGCACGATGATATATAGTTATTAAATAGGTTGATCAGATCTACAATGTCTTCAATGAATATAACACTGCGAATATCTTTATCTGCAATAGTGCTCCTGATATGATTCTGTATCGATAGATGGATAGATGGATGGATGGATGGATGGATGGACACAACTAAATTTGCAGCTAACAATAATTCAATCTCCTGAAACAATGAGAACAATGATGCTAAATTAACAGCGCATGCATTTACGTAAATGACAAAAGCGTGTCTATGGTCCAGTCCTATTTTAATGACCCAGCATACACTAAATTAAATTTTTATCTCAAGTCCACTTCTGAAAGAGCAAATATGGTACCAGACCCACCAGGAAACACCCCCTAAATTTTATGATTATTTTTGATTGTGCAAATACAACTATACAACCTTGTCCCCATTCCTACACACATAATAGCTGTACTGTGACAGCAAAAACAAATAGACTTTCTAGAGTAATGACTGTTTTTTCCAGACATTATAATACAGTGTGTTAACAAAGGTATTACTGTCAGCAGAAACAAAGACAGCATTATACACTGCTATATACTGATAATTCAACACAATTACAACTCTATAATTTATAGCTTAATCCTACCATTTTTTGAACAGAAATCAAAACTGGAGAAACACCATTTCCAACACTTTCCTTCTCATCATTATCCTCCTTTTCTTTCTCCTCAGTCACATTTGTATTCAGTGATGTATCACCTGAAACACACTTAGTGAGGATCGTTTCAGTCTCAGCGGTACAGTCCTCCTCCACCTCCTCGTGTAACCGGGTCCGTTTCGGCATGTTAGCTAATCACTTGACAGAGTGTTTTCAACAAGAACTTTCAGTCTGATTTTATAGACCAGACAAGGTACCCATAACTCCACGTCTCACAACCTCCCTAAGTAAATGCATGAAATGCAGGAATTTCCTGTTTTTCAACGCTGAGCACTGAATTAATTAATCGGTGGCTGCCACTGCTGTACTTGAGGTGAAAACTAATACGCCACAGTTCATCAGTGTTGTTTTTGTCTCCAGGCAAGGATAAACTCAAGTACGTCAGAGTATGCCTCCAAGTGGTTTCAGACTCCCCATCAGTGAGATGAACGACCTTGAACAGAAAGTACCTTGCGAATACACCAACTTTTACCCCATGCAGACACATGGATATAGCGGGACGTCTAACAAACAACTCAAGCAGTCAGATCTCTTGTCGTCTTATTTTACTCACATGTAAACAGGATATTTTATTGGCAGAATAATAAAACTGTGAATTATACAGCGTATAAAAACTGAAACCTCCCACTTTATTATTCCGTAAAAGTCGTGAGGGACAGTTCAAACAGATATTTGGGGGAGTTCTAGACAAATATGTTAATCTACATTATTAATGGTATTAATTAATAAACACTGAATTGTTATTCTTGTCACACGGTTTGCAGTAAAAGGATGAAATAGGATGAAATATAATCTTCAGAATATGATAAAATTCTACACCCCTCTACTCTTCAACTGACCAGGCCCTAGACAGAATTAACTGTTGACATGTTTGGAATGTTTATTTCATCTCTCAGTAATCATAGACTAGACTCAGACTTCCCCCAGGAGATTTAGAATACGTTGTATAAATTGTTGCTTTAAAGGTCACACTGCACTTTCACAAAACAATTAAATATTTCCACATAACAATAGTAAATATTTCCACATAGAAAATAATAAATGAAGAAAATTAAACACTCATACAAATCAAAGAACTGAGAGTATTGAAATCATATTTCAAATTAATTAAAAATTCAAAATAAGAAGCTTGGCAACTAATATTTGTCTGCTATTTGAGATGCATAATGTGGAAACAATGTGATCCACATTATTGTAAGTTTATATTACTCACAGAAACTATATTTGTATTTACATCTGTGTTTTGCAGTCCAATTATTTTAGAGCACCTCTACCAGAAATTTTTTGAGATATCAGAAGTTGGCTATAAACAAAAATTGGATATCGGTAATCAATATATATTGTTTTCAATGTTAAACTAATCACGTCTGTGAATTCCACCAGAGCATCTACATGTACGTACCAAATTTCCGGGGCACTTACATTCCACTTTTCATTACAATGTTAACAAATTATGCAAATTGGGTAATAATTATTTATATAATTAAACCCAAAACTAACTAGGTCATCATATTGTTTATATTATTCATTGAAATAAGATTACTACTTGAGATATTGATGGGAATTATTATGCAAATTAGGTAATTATTATGCAAAGATTTTAACATAAAACTAATGAGGTCTATGCAATGTCACATGTATAGGCCATAAATTTATGAATTTTTATGCAAATTAGGTAATTACACAGATTTTAACCAAAAACTGATTAGGTTTAGTCCATTGTAATAGAGCATTTATGTACCAAGTTTCACTGAAATTTGATGATCAGAACTTGAGATAGCAGTGGAAAAATTACTAATTATTAGGTAATTAATATGCATGGATTTTTACTAAAACTAATCAGGTCTGCGAATATAGTATATATATATACTACGTTTCATTGAAATCTGACCAGTACTGGAGTAACTACCCCAGCTTCCTCCGCAAAGTGGAGAAACAGATGGGGGAAAATGGGGTACTGAGGAACTGGTGTAACAGACATACATACATACTGCAAAGACTGCTTTGCACACAGGAGCCAAAATTCAAGTCATTAAAATATTATTTATTTTGACCTTCGAAAAATCTCTGTAATTCATGTAAGCTCTGTAATTGAGAAGCTTGGAGGTTCGCCCTCTAGCGAGCAGTTGTGTAATCTTTTGTTTATATTTAGTAATGTACTGGTATATAAAACGTATAGCATTATATGGAGCAAACTTTTGAAATCTTCTAAGCAATAATTCCCTTAAGTGAACCTCAATGCTTGAGATAATAATTGCACAAAAATGTTTGATACAGATCATTAATTCTCAGACATAGCGTATTCAAATGACCTGTAAATACGGCTACTGCTACCAACATATTATATACGCTATGATAATACTGGACTAGCTGTAAAATCTATATTAGAAAACACGGCTTCTATTAAAATGGTACAATGCAACATGCGGCTTCTATTAGAGCATCTACACATATGAGAAACGATGAATTTTTGATTCTCAATTATTCAAAAAGAATGGGCGCGACTTCTATTAAAGATGCGGCTTCTAATACAGATTTTACGGTATGTCTTATGTGTAGAGTTCCACTGAAAAATTACGGTGAAATTATTCAAATTTGAAAAAAAAAATATTGTAACAAATGAACTTATATTTCCTTTACCTAGATAAAGATAAAATTATACGACTTTATTTTGTGAAAGACAACAAATTTGAAATAAATATTCAAATGATAAAAAAAGACCCTGTCAGTGGTTATTTTATTATTTTTTTTAACTAATTGCTTAATTTTTGAGCCCCAATGTGCTTATTACATCTGATCTTTGATTTCTGAATCAAGTCAACTTTTTGACACAAAATAAACCTGCAAAAATTTGTTTTTCAAATTTTTGATCAAGAGCTACAGAAAATAAGAAAATAGTTCCATTTACTTTAAAATTAATTAAACAATTGTAAAAATGAAAAAAAAATTACACCAAATTTTTGCGGAAAAAATATGACATTGTGAATGCCATATTTTTTCCCACAAAAATGTTAAAGCAATATTTTATAATTTTTTGGACCAACTAGACACAAGGGCTTTCGCGATTACCAAAACTTTAAAAAAATACCAGCAAATAAATTTTGAAAAAAAAATAATAGAATATATGAAAAAAAAAGCCCAAACTAGGATCTTATTTTAATCAGATTGAGCAGACTACAGAGTAAATTATTATAAATAAATACAGAAATAAAAACTCTATGCTAGTAAAGAAAAGAAACTACATGGTTATGACTGAGAATGATACAAGGCCAGTGCCGCATATGGAGCAGGATGTGATCACTCAATATCTGACATCACTGCATGTGTACCATGGAATCCACGTATCTTTCTTTTACTGATTTCACTTTGTGGTGTGATGTACTTGTCAATTAATTGCTTTGTTTTTTTGTGGATATTTTTTTTTCAAATATTTTTGTGCCAGGTGACACTTTCGTTATGACGTTACATCTGATTTTTTTTTCACTGTTGTCAGTCATTTGTTTTGTGTTTTTTGACTCAAAAATTTCCCCATATGTTTTATGTTAAATGATCTATGGTTAGGTATGTTATTTCTACTTTAATAGATAAAATATGTGTAGCTGTGACATATCATATCATCAAATTTCTGTAGGTCTGGTCTGCTCAATAAGAAAAAAGTAGTAGGTACATATAATATGTCTGGGAAAAAAGAATAAAACCTGTTGACGAAATCAAGCTAACCTTACAAAATGGAACCAATTTCTTTCAATGTTTGGCACTCTTTGAACACCAATATCTATAGGATAGTGCAATCTATGGTCCATCCATATCTATAGGATAGTGTAATCTATGGTCCATCCATATCTATAGGATAGTGTAATCTATGGTCCATCCATATCTATAGGACAGTGAGATCTATGGTTCATCCATATCTATAGGATAGAGTGATCTATTGTCCATCCATATCTATAGGACAGTGAGATCTATGGTTCATACATATCTATAGGATAGTGTAATCTATTGTCCATCCATATCAAAAGGACAGTGAGATCTATGGTTCATACCGGTATATATCTATAGGATAGAGTGATCTATTGTCCATCCATATCTATAGGACAGTGAGATCTATGGTTCATACATATCTATAGGATAGAGTGATCTATTGTCCATCCATATCTATAGAGTAGTGTAATCTGTGGTTCATCCATATCTATAGGATAGTGTGATCTATGGTCCATACATATATATAGGACAGTGAGATCTATGGTTCATCCATATCTATATGATAGTGTAATCTATGGTCCATCCATATCTATAGGACAGTGAGATCTATGGTTCATCCATATCTATAGGATAGTGTAATCTATGGTCCATCCATATCTATAGGACAGTGAGATCTATGGTTCATCCATATCTATAGGATAGAGTGATCTATTGTCCATCCATATCTATAGGACAGTGAGATCTATGGTTCATCCATATCTAGAGGATAGTGTGATCTGTAGTCCATCCATATCTATAGGATAGAGTGATCTATTGTCCATCCATATCTATAGGACAGTGAGATCTATGGTTCATACATATCTATAGGATAGAGTGATCTATTGTCCATCCATATCTATAAAGAGTAGTGTAATCTATGGTTCATCCATATCTATAGGATAGTGTGATCTATGGTCCATACATATATATAGGACAGTGAGATCTATGGTTCATCCATATCTATATGAATAGTGTAAATCTATGGTCCATCCATATCTATAGGACAGTGAGATCTATGGTTC